AAAAAAAAAAAAAAAAAAAGATGGGTTGAAACTTGAGCAGAGACCCCAAAGTAATGAGGAACTGAGCCCTGCAAACATCTGGGGAGAGTGCTTGACTGAAAATAGCAAGTTCAGCGGCCTCAGAAGAGCAGGCCTGCAGTGTTAGAGAAACAGCACAAAGGTCAATGTAACCTGCCTGACTTAAGTTGTAAAAGGATCATCCTGGCAGCTGGGTGAACAATAGATTGCAAACTTGTGTGTATTTCATTTCACATGTGCATGGGCTTATATGTAGAATTAATTCCCGGAAGTAGGATTTCTGGGTCACAGGGCAAATACATTTGTAATTTTCATGGATAAATTGTGAAATTTCCATCCAGTCTCCACTTCCACTAGCCATGCTCAAGACTCCTGTTTCTTCACAGCCTCACCAACACTTAGTAAAGCTTTGTAGAGGTGGGAATTTTCTTTAATAGTCAGAAGACCCAAAATCAGGATGTTGGTAAGGTTACTTTCCTTGGGGAGGCTCTAGGAGACATCCATGTCGTTGTCTTTTCTAATTTCCGCCGTCATTCCTCACCTCTTGACCCCAGCCTCCCTATTCCAGTTCGGGAGCTTAACATCTTTCAACCCCTCTCTCCTCTGTCATCATATCTCCTGTCTGACCCCAGACCCTGCTGCTTTCCTCTTAGAAAGGTCCTTGTGATTACCTTATGCCCACCCGGTTAATCTGGGATAATCCCTCCATCTCAACATCCTGAATTCAGTCACATCTGCATCCCTTTTGCCATGTTAAGGTAACATTTGGGAAGAGGGGGTGTGGGGGACACAGACATTATTAGCCTACCACAGGGTGATTTGCCAGTTGTCTGTGATAGAAAATGCAAATACTGGGGCTCCTGGGTGGTTCAGTCGGTTGGGCGTCTGCGTCTGACTTCGGCTCAGGTCATGATCTCAAGGTTTGTGAGTTTGAGCCCCACTTCGAGCTCTGTGCTGAAAGCTCAGAGCCTGGAGCCTGCTTCGGATTCTGTGTCTCCCCCTCTCTCTGACCCTCCCCTGTTCATGCTCTGTCTCTCTCTATCTCTCCATAATGAATAAACGTTAAAAAAAAAAATTTTTTTTTTTAAGAAAATGCAAATACTTTGGGGCCCCTGGGTGGCTCAGTCTGTTAAGCATATGACTCTTGGTTTTAGCTCAGGTCATGATCTCCCGATTTGTGAGGTCTAGGCCCAAGTTGGGCTCTGTGCTGACAGCACAGATCCTGCTTGGTATTCTCTCTCTCTCTCTCTCTCTCTCTCTCTCTCTCTCTCTCTCTCGCTTCCTCCCTCCCTCCCTCCCTCCCTCCCCACACACATGTGTTCTCTCTGTCTCAAAATAAATGAACTTTAAAAAATTTTTTTTCATCTTTTAAAAAAAAGGAAATGCAAATACTTTTCCTCCTTGTCCTTTGTCTTCTAACATTGCTTACAGTTTTGTGGTTGTTTTGCTTTTGCTTTTGCCATTTGGAGTTTATCCTGATAAATGGTGTAAATGCAGATATGTCTATTGTTTGTTTGTTTGTTTCCAGATAGCTATTTGGTTGTAGCAGCACCATTTACTGAAAAGTCCAACTTTTCCTACAAGTTAGTAAATGTTTGTATATAGTTTGATTTCTGGACTTTCTTTTTGGTTCAGTTGTCTTTCTGTCTAAAAAGTACACATTCTTTTAAATTACTAAGGCTTTATAGTATAATACGTGATATCTTTATAGTTATAATATCTGGTAGGGCTGGACATCTGTCGGTGTCCCCATCTACCCCCCCACCCTCCCCCAACCATACACATAGCTATTCTTGTTCATGGTTTTCCTGCCTACTTTTATTATGTTTGTTCCATGTGAACTTTAGAGTCAGCTTCCCTGGTTTCAGGAGGAAAGAAAGGTCTTTTTAGTTTAATTGGAGTAAACTTTATGAGGTTGGACTGTACCGTCTTTAAATATGATATGTTTTTATATTCTTTAAGGTAACTTGTGTTCCTTCACTAGTATTTTAGCAATTCATTCGTATCAGTTTTTCACATTTCTGAGTTTATTCCCAGCTCTTTAATCTTTCTTTTCATTGGATATAATGGAAGAAAAGATCCTATTTATAATACTTTGTGATTACTTTTTATGCATGAAAGTTATGGTTAATACATTTATCCTATTAACTATAAGTTTTGTGTGTATATATACGTATGTGTGTGTATATATATATGCTGCTACTTTATTGAATTAACTTCTTGTTTATAGTAGTTTGTAGTTGAGTCTCCTAGTTTTTCCCAGTATACAATTACATTGTCTTCAAACAGCGATAGTTAAAAGCTTCCTTTCTAATATTTATCCATCTCTTCTTTTCTTGCCTCTTCCTTTACACTGTTAAATAACAGTGGTGTGCATCTCTCTTATTCCTGACTTTATTAGGAAAGACTCATGTTCCTTCATAAAGTATTTGCAGACTTTGGGGCTGACACACATACACACACATATGCACACATCATATTAAAGAAATATACATCTGTTCCTCTTTTATTTAGGTTTTTTTTCCCATCAAGAATAGGAGTTGAATTTTGTCAAATGCTCATTTAGTTTGTATGGAGAGATAATATGATTTCTATCTTCAGTTTATTAATATGGTATGTTAACTTTGCACATTTAAAAATACATTCTCAAATTTCCAAAATTAAATATGTTGTGATTCATACCTAATGTTTTATAATGCACTTTATTCACTGTTTCTCCCTTGGATGGCCTTTTTTATTATTACACAATGTTATGTTGCACATTTGTAACTCTTGCCACAAGTGGAACTTTCTCTTTGTTTAAAGGCACAATAAATAAAATAAAGCTGACAATTTGATCTGACCAGTGGGTGGAAGGTTCCCCTCTGGATCTGAGCTGACCTTTTCATGATCCCATTTTCTTATTATTTTTTATATTTGTCCTCAAATAATGATGGAAAGAGAAGGATTATGGTATGGGTGGCAGGAAGTAAAGTGTTTTAGTTAATCCTTCTGAATGGGTTCTAGTTAGTTTGAAGTTTCAAAGAAATACCATAAATGAACATTGTTTTATATACTTTGTTCATCATTTTTGTCCTCAGAGAGCCCACTGCCTAGAGCAGCCCCATCCAGTAGGGCAGCCGCTAGCTCCTTGTACCTGCTGAGTACTTGAGACGTGGCTAGTGATGTGTTGTAAGTGTAAAATACACACTGGTTTTGAAAATTTAGCATAAAAAATATAAAATATCTCAACAATTTAAAAACATTTTTTTGAAGTGTTTATTTATTTTTGAGAGAGACAGGGTGTGAGCAGGGGAGGGGCAGAGAGAGAGAGGGAGACACGGAATCTGAAGCAAGCTCCAATCTCTGAGCTGTCAGCACAGAGTCTGACACAGGGCTTGAACCCACAGACTGTTAGATCATGACCTAAGCCAAAGTCAGACACTTAACCAACTGAGCCACACAGGTGCTGCTATAATATCTCAATAATTTTATATGTTGAAATAATATTTTGGATATATTAGGATAGATAAAATGTCAGTAAGATTAATTTCACCTATTTCTTTTCACTTTTTAATGTAACTACTAGCAAATTTTATTTTATTTTACCCTTTTTAAAAGTTTATTTATTTTGAGAAAGAGAGTGTGTGCATATGCACACACTTGCAAGTGGGGTATGGATAGAGAGAAAGAGAGGGAGAGAGAGAGAGAGAGAGAGAGGGAGGGAGGGAGGGAGGGAGGATCCCAAGCAGGCTCCACACCCAGCACAGAGCCTGATGCAGGGCCAATCCCACAAACCATGAGATCATGACTTGAGCTGAAATCAAGAGCTGGACACCCAAAATGAGCCACCTAGGCTCCCCACTACTAGCTAATCTTAAATTACATATGCAGCTTACATTATATTTTTAATGGACATCACTGGTCTAGAGGTAGTAAGTATGTGTGAACTTATAAATACTACAATGGTTTTCATAATTTAAAAAGATGAAAGTAAATAAACTACGCTTATATATACTCCCTTTTCTCCTTGTTTCTCCTTATAGGAATAAACTTGGGTGATAATATAATCTAATCATACTCCGTTACAATGGGTTACCTCCTCTGTGATTTTTTTTATTGAACTGTTTCTAAGAGAATGCAGTTTCTTCATTACGCCCTTGACATTTCCACATAAGTTAAAGGTAACAGGCATCTTGTGTTTTGGCATAGCAGCACTCAAGAGCTCACGTGAATATAGAAGGGAGTTAGTTTGGAGGTCCAAGTTTCTAACTTTTCTTTATCCTACATAAATTGTAATAGAAGTTTCCTAGTTCAAAATAAAATTTGCTTCTGCATTTCTTTCATTTTTCCCGCCATTACCCCAAAACAACAGTTCCCACCCCTTAGTTCTCTGTAGGTAGAGCCAAGGTTCTGCATCTTTTAGTTCTGTCTTGTGGCAATAGCCTGAGTGTTTTGAGGACTTCATTTCTTAACTCTTATATTCTTCAAAAACCGAAACAATTACTCCTAAAACGTTTTTTTAACTCCTGGCTTTGTCGCGTTTTTTAGGAAAATCATATCACAGAAGATATTGGAATATCAACTTGGAAGGAACAGACTTTTCTCTCCCATGGTGCCTTATTAGCAAAGAGCTGCCAGGCTGCAATGGAATTAGCAAAGCATGATGCTGACGTTCAGGATATGGCATTTCAGTATGGGAAGCACATGGCCATGAGTCATAAGGTATTTGCACATTTTTTCTTTTTCCAGTGCTTAAATAGCTAAAATGATACATAAGAAACCTCCTGCCATTTAATAAGCTGCTTTTGTATCTCAAAAAAAAAAAAAAAATGTTTATTGTGTGTTTAAAATCTGTCAGTCATAGATGGTGATTGTTATGTAATATAAACAGTGTGAGTGGTGAGTACTGTGTAATTTTGATAGAAAGCTACAGCTGACTTAAACCATATTTGTGATGTTTGTCTTTTCTTACCACCTGAAAGGGTTCTTGAGAGAACTCTTACAAATTATTAAATAACCTGTAATGTTGCCCTTTACAGAATGAGAGATCATTTGCGTTTTTGTTACAGTTCCCTTAAAGTTCCCTTATGTAAAACAAATTGTGGAAATTTAATGAAATTTTAAAATATACTGAGTAAAATCGAAAGCCTTAATTCTAATACTTGGTCCTTTCTAATGGGCATACTGAAATATAAAAAGTCTTGAGGTTAGCTGTTATATTGTTGCCTCTGTACATATGTAACTTAAAGATTACAGGGGTGCCTGGGTGGCGCAGTCGGTTAAGCGTCCGACTTCAGCCAGGTCACGATCTCGCAGTCCGTGGGTTCGAGCCCCGCGTCGGGCTCTGGGCTGATGGCTCAGAGCCTGGAGCCTGTTTCCGATTCTGTGTCTCCCTCTCTCTCTGCCCCTCCCCCGTTCATGCTCTGTCTCTCTCTGTCCCAAAAATAAATAAACGTTGAAAAAAAAAAAAAAAGATTCCATTTAATATATATTTCTTAGATGTTACTTAAATAGCTCATAAGAGAGGAGAAAATAGATATATACGTTATATATATACATGCATGTATATATATATATGTATGTAATATCTCCAGATGAGTTTTTATATATTTTATTAAATCTTAAATTTTATTAAACAATTATGTTCATTAAAACTTTATTTAAATTTTTGTTTTTTGGGGCGCCTGGGTGGCTCAGTCAGTTAAGTGTCTGACTTCAGCTCAGGTTACGATCTCACAGTCCATGAGTTCGAGTCCCGCGTCGCGCTCTGGGCTGATGGCTCAGAGCCTGGAGCCTGCTTCCGATTCTGTGTCTCCCTCTCTCTCTGCCCCTCCCCCATTCATGCTCTGTCTCTCTCTGTCTCAAAAATAAATAAAAACGTTAAAAAATTTTTTTAAAAATTCTTGTTTTTAATTTAAAGAGTAAAAGCAAAGTCTGCTGCCAAATAGAAAAGGAATATGTCAGGAAAAAATTATCTTAAAGAATTTTAAAGATTGCTGTTAATCATATGAACTGTTCTTTTGCTTAGTAAAGTTCATCTAAAAGCTGTATTCCTTAAGCTTCATTTTCCCTGCATTAACTGGTGCTTTCTGAAAGGACTAAAACATAGTAGTGTGTATGCATCTTACTGATTTAACTCTTTTGACTACTCCTCCTAGATAAATTCTGACCTCCAGCCTTTTATTAAGGAAAAGACCAGTGACTCCATAACTTTTAATCTCAACTCAGCTCCTGTGGTCTTACATCAGGAGTTTCTTGGAAGAGACTTGTGGATTAAGCAGATCAGAGAGGTAAAATGAAATTATTCCTATTTTGGGCATCAGTAGAGTAGTATTTAGTTGATTTTAGAATATAATTCATATTTCATGATGATCTAAGATTATAGAACAGCCATATAAGAGCATTTTCATATAACAGGTAAAATTCTTTATAATCCACATTTTTAAAAGGCAAATGTTAGTTAAAACTTAGAGATTGAACTGCTGTTATTATCTGAGTTCTTAGAATACTGCAACACAAAACTAGTGCCTGTGGTGGATGCTAATTAACTCAGATAATTTTTTTTTTTCTAAAGGCTTTCAAAAATTGGGCTATGGTAATAGCACCACCCTTTAACTGACGGCAATTTCCCATCTGCAGACTCTAGCACAAGCTGCAGAATTCCAGAAGCTCCGTCTGTCAGCTCATTGGGTTATTTTAAAACAAACTTGGACCCTGAATACTCAAATTCTGAGGTATTACCACAGGAAAAAAAAAAAGCATGGTGAAGTGGGAGGGGTACAGAGGCTTAAATTGGGTGAATTTCTTACTTTTTTGCAGGAAAGAAGGTATAAAAGATGAAAGGGAACTTTTTTGCTTTTCTTTTAATCCAGAAACTCTGGAATGATAAATTCTTGCCCTTTTACCCAAAGCCTCATTGAATTTATTTAACTTTGTGGTTCTAATCGATTGGGTTAATGGGAGACAAGAGAAAGTAGGCAGAGCTGAGGGCAGGGACAGCTGCCATACTTAAAGCAAAGAGAGCCTAAGTCATCTGCATTTGGAATGGTAAGATTTTCCCTCTCTTAACCCTCTTCCCTCACTGGCTTTCAAAATGCCATCAGCCAGCCTCACATCCCTCATATTCACCTGATAGAAGATGAGAGGATTCCTTTTTGGGCAAGAAAATATAAAAATATGAAAGCAGAATTTTTATAAATTAGAAGAACAGAAGATACAAATGAGAAAATCTCCCAGAAAGTTGAACAGAAAGTCAATAGAAGATAGAAAAGATGAGAAAATTTTGAGAACCAATTCAACAGATCCTATATACTCTTAGGAGTCCCAAAGAGAGAAAACTGAAAATGGAGTTAAGAAAATTAACAGCAACAAAAACTTGTAAAGAGAGGTGCCTGGGCGGCTTAGTCAGGCGTTCAACTCTTGGTTTGGGCTCAGGTCATGGTCTCACAGTTCGTGGGTTGAAACCCTGTGTCGGGTTCTGCGCTGGCAGTGCAGCCTGCTTGGGATTCTTTCTCTCTCCCTGTCTCTCTCTCTAAAAATAAATAAACTTAAAAAAAAAAAATTGTAAAGAAAAGAAAAATCCTGAGAATTGAAGGACCTAAATTTCCAAGTTGAAATGGGGCTCTAAATAATCACATCATTATCACATCTTGAAACAATGGGGATAAAAAGAGATCCTAATACTTCCAGGAAGAAAAAGAAAAACCTACATACAAAGGATCGAGACTCAGAAAGGCCTCTCAGTAGTGGCATTGAAAGATTCAGGACAATGGACTAACATCTTCAACATTCAAAGAGAAAATTGTTGCCAACTTAGACTTTTGTGACTGTCACATTATCAAGTGTGATGTTAAATAAAGACAATTTAAAACGGAAACACAGGGGCGCCTGGGTGGCGCAGTCGGTTAAGCGTCCGACTTCAGCCAGGTCACGATCTCGCGGTCCGTGAGTTTGAGCCCCGCGTCAGGCTCTGGGCGGATGGCTCAGAGCCTGGAGCCTGTTTCCGATTCTGTGTCTCCCTCTCTCTCTGCCCCTCCCCCGTTCATGCTCTGTCTCTCTCTGTCCCAAAAATAAAATAAACGTTGAAAAAAAAAATTATTAAAACGGAAACACAAGGTCTCAAAAAACTGACTTCCCAAGCATCTTTTCTCAAGGGATGTATTTCAGGTGCTGTGTTTTATTAAGACAAAGAAGTAACCAAGAGAGAGAAAGACATGGAATCTAGGAACGAGGGGATCAGACATAGGCATGAGGCAGTGGGAATTCCAGGGATAGCATGAAAAGAAGCATAATAAACAATAATAATGCCAAGAATAAGAGCACTTACGATGTGTCAAGCACTCTTCTAATGAGGAAACTGAGGCACAGAGAAATTAGCTTGTGCAGAATCACACAGCTAGCAAGCAGTAGAGCCAGGATTTAAACCCAGGCAGCCTGGCTCCAGGGCCCACATCCTTAAGTTATAAGTAACATGCTACACTCTCTCATCCAAGCAAGTCCTAGGCTGGTGGCTATGTATCCAGTCCAGATTGGGACAAGAGGACAGAGATCTCCAGGAGAAATTTCTTTAAGGAAATCAGTGGAACTAATATACTTGACAATATTGAGAATTTAAAGACAAATTAATGATAGATGCATAGAAAACTAAGTGTTCCAGTTACTGTTGCTGCATAACAAATTACCCCCAAAACTTAGCTGCTTAAAATAACCATGTGATTATGTTCATGTTTATTAAACATTTTGTGAGTCAGGAATTTGGACAGAGCACAGAGATGACTGCTCCATGACACGTGGGGCCTCAACTGAAATGACCCAGATGCTGGAGATGACTCAGCAGTGCTGGGCACTGGAATCATCTAGAGACTCAACTCATGCCAGGCTGCTAGACTGGGATGTCAGACTATATTACTGACCAACCAGAGTGCATACACGTGGTTCCTCCATTTAGCTTGGCTTCCTTGCAACATGGCAGCTTGAGAATAGTCAGAGTTCTTACTTGCCAGTTCGGAGCTCCAAACACAAGTGTTCCAGCAAACAAGGCAGAGATTGCATCTTCTTTTATGACCAGCCTCAGAAGTCACACACACAGTCATTTACGTAGTCTCTTAAAAATTTTATATAGTTTGTTATAGTAATTCCACTTCTAATAACCTTTCCTCAAAAAATATCAGATGTGAACAAAGACTTACATATTAGAATATGCACTAAAATTCTAATTCTAAAAGGAAAAAAGTGGAAGTTGATTCATTTAAAAATAGTAAAAAGAATTAAATGAAGTATAGTACAATGAATATCCTACAACTATTCAATATTGTATTACTGGGGTGTATTTGTGTGTTTTTTGACAGCTGAACCAAAAATATATATACAGATGGTGTTAGTAGCTCTAATTGGGTTACATTAGAATACATTGCAGATTTACATTTTGGTTGAAAAGATCCAGCTAAATATGTTGAATGGAAGCTACCAACTCTCCCTGGGCTATTTACATATATTCATATATATATATATATATATATATATATATATATATATATATATGTAGCAGAGATCTGAATTTTAAAGAAGCTTCACAGAAGAGGGACATATTTAACTTTTAGTTTCTTTGCAAGCATACAAAGTCGTAAATGTAGACAACATGAGAATCCAGGATTTCCTAAACAGCTGGTGAAATACTCCCAAATCATTATCTCCAACTTGACTTTACATTTTCAAAGGGATATCCTTTCCAAATCGCCAGTGCCTTAGCCAGTAACTCAAGTAAATAAAATATATCTTGTCCAGAGGTCAGTAAATCCTGCCAGGATGATGGCTGTGAGTAGGTGACATCCTATCCTTCAGCCTAGGTTCCCTGTGATGCTATCTAGATCTTCATCCTTCAAGAAAGACTGGCAGTCTATTGCCCATCTCAAGGACCTGCCAGGCTGCTGTGGTTTGCTCCAAGTGACTTCAGACCCTTCTCCATGTTCGAGTTATGTACAGGATCACTGGTGAAGAGATTAATTCATCTGAAACAAATAAGAAATAAGAAGTTAGTTTTTGTCATGCAAGGGGATACATTCCTCAGATTAAAGACTCCTTGGTTGAGTTTATTTTAATCTTCTAAATTATAATATTCATGTTTATATAAAGCTCTGTAAGATAATAATCTTGGGGCGCCTGGGTGGCGCAGTCGGTTAAGCGTCCGACTTCAGCCAGGTCACGATCTCGCGGCCCGTGAGTTCGAGCCCCGCGTCAGGCTCTGGGCTGATGGCTCAGAGCCTGGAGCCTGTTTCCGATTCTGTGTCTCCCTCTCTCTCTGCCCCTCCCCCGTTCATGCTCTGTCTCTCTCTGTCCCAAAAATAAATAAACGTTGAAAAAAAAAAATTTAAAGATAATAATCTTGTTCTGTGAATGCCTCCTACACAGAGTTAGGGGACAAAATTAGCATAATATTCAAGAGAGACATTCTATCCTAAATCTCAAGGAGGTTCCTTATTAATCCTGAAATTAGTTCTAGTACTCTCTTCACAGTTTTTCATGATTATTTGCCTCCACTGCATTTTTTGTGATCCTTTCCTCCCCAGGTTTTTTTGTTTTTTTTTAATTTTTTTAACCTTTATTCATTTTTGAGAGACAGAGTGTGAGTCGGGGAGGGGCAAAGAAAGAGGGAGACACAGAATCTGAAGCAGGCTCCAGGCTCCAAAGCAGGGCTTGAACTCACTGATGGCGAGATCATGACCTGAGCCGAAGCCAAACACTTTACCAACTAAGCCACCCAGGGGCCCCTCCTCCCCAAGTTTTGAATTTTATTTCAAGATCCCTAAGGATAACAGTGAATTCATCTGCCATAGTGAATTACTTGAAATAGTCATCCAGCTAGTATTTGTGAAAAAGTATGTGTGGTATGGTCTTCACAGAGTTAGGCTATTTGATGGCAGCCCTGTATTGTTAAATAGAAAAAGTCAAGTTGGTATAGCAGAAATGGCCCATAGGTGAAGGTTTTGGGAGACCTGGATTCTAATTTGGACTCTGCTAGCATCTGTATAAACTTAATCACATTCTTTCATGTCCTTATTATTATTTAATGTCAAAGGATGCTGTTGAACTAGATCATTCCTGAGGTCCCTCTCAGCTCTCAAATAAATCTAAGAAATAGGTCTCTTAGGCAAGAGATGCATTATAAGAAAAATATTAATCTCTATTAGAAGCTTAATACTAGTTTTGACACTGAGAAATAGAAAAGTCTTGCTCCCAGTGATGGAAGTCACCTATGATTTCTTAACATCACATGTAAAATTACTTCCCTGCT